GTTTTTAACCAAACCAGGGCAGGTTTAGACTGGAGATGAGGAAGAACTTCTTGACCCTGAGGGTGGCGAAACCCTGGCAGGGGATTGCCCAGAGAGGGGGTGGAGGCCCCATCCCTGGGAACATCCCAGGCCAGGTTGGCCGGGGCTGTGGGCAACCTGATGTGGTTGGAGATGTCCCTGCTCCTGCAGGGGGTTGGGCTGGGTGACCTCTGGGGGTCCCTTCAAACCCAAACCATTCCATAGTTCTGTATTCAGCCCTTGACCCCCCCAACGATGGCAAAGCACCACCGTTATTCTAAAAGCCGGTTGGCGCCCTGGCTATGCCACATGCGGCCAGGCTGATCTTGCTGGTTTTGAAGAGCGGCTGCTTTCATGGTCACGGGCAATAACTCGATGCGGGACGGGTTTAGCAGAACTGGGATATCGCTGTTACTGTCCTAGGGGAATTTAGTCTGGCTGGGACATTTTTCCCCCCCTGCTCGCAGCATTTCCCATCAACTGCTGGTACCCAACGTACGTGTATTCAGGGCTCTATCATCTACTCGCAGCAAGGAGGGCATGAAGGCCCCTGTTTCTCTAAGGTTAAAATCCACTTACAGATTCATTCATACAGAATTCACTTATAGATAAGGAGGTGTGTTCAGGGTTGGGCCCCTCCCTCCCCAAAGGACCTGGGGGGGCTGGAGCGTGTCCGGAGAAGGGCAGCAGAGCTGGGGAGGGGTCTGGAGCCCCAGGCTGCTGGGGAGCGGCTGGGGGAGCTGGGGGGGTTCAGCCTGGAGCAGAGGAGGCTGAGGGGAGCCCTCATCGCTGCCTACACCTGCCTGAGAGGAGGGGGGAGCCGGGGGGGTCGGGCTCTGCTCCCCGGGAAGGGGCGATGGGGCGAGGGGCACCGGCCTCAAGTTGTGCCAGGGCAGGGTGAGGTTGGCCATGGGGAACAATTCCTTCCCCTTGGGGCTGTCAGGGGCTGGAAGGGGCTGCCCAGGGAAGGGGTCGAGTCCCCAGCCCTGGGGGGATTTAACAGCCGGGCAGAGGTGGTGCTGAGGGCTGGAGTTTGGGGGTGGGATGGCAGGGGTAGGGGAAGGGTTGGGCTGGGGGAGCTTCAAGGGCTTCTCCAACCCAAACAATTCTGTGATTCTCACTAATTAGAAACATCCAGCCGCAGCCCAGCCCCTCGTCATCCTTTCCTGCAGCAGAAAACCCTCACACCAACCTAAGGCTGCTGCATTCGGGCTTTATTTTGATGCCACATTGACCACTTCATTCAACAAACTCCCCGCTCCACCTGGTGCGTTGCTCAGGTCTTCCCAACCTGGTGGCTGCCCAGGTCTTTGCAGCAATTGGGGTGTTTTAGTGTTTCAGTTCCTCTCCCTTGGGCTTTAGGTCTTCTTTGCCACCCATCCCAACCTCAAGGGAAGGGGAATGTTTTCTCTAATGCCTGTTTCTTGAGACTGGGGTGGGCCTGCGCCTCCTCTTCGGCATCACACGCCGCAGGGCAGCCAGGACGTGCGTGGG